AAACAAACACGCTGAACCGGCTGCAGCAGCTCGTTAACAGAAACCAGCAGGACCCTCGTTTAGGACGAGCCGGACGACGACCGGACGCTTCCCTGGAAACCAGAACCAGGAGGACTGGTTGGGCTACACGAGGACGGAGGCTCGTCGCTCCGCCTGTCCGTCTCGGGCGGAAGACCAAATATTTCAGGGCAGAGGACACATCTGGAGCATCTGGCAGCGAAAAGGAAACAACAAACACCCGATTGGCGGCGCCGCAGCGAGAAAAGTCCGTCGGCCGTCCCGCCAGACGGACAGAACTTCTGCTGTAAACATTAGTTAGGATTCACATTAGTAGTAAAAAGGTGACGGAGGGGTTGTTATGCGCATGCACGTGTGCATGCACGGACGAGTCGACGCATCACACTGTTAGTCAACATTCAGAGCATCCAGCTCCCTCCACATCCCAGATTGTTAGATTAAAAAGAAGAAGAACATTCGTCCATCGGTTGTCCTCGGGTTGGAAGTCCGGCGTGAGATCAGTCAGGCACCGAGAGCAGCCGGAGGAGGAGGAGGAGGAAGAGGAGGAGGAGGAGGAGGAGGAAGAGGAGGAGGAAGAGGAGGAGGAAGAGGAGGACGTAGACGCTGGACGCAGCAGCTCCGGGTTTGTTTTTGAACTCTTTGGTCAGACGAGAGCTGCCGGATGCCAAACGGGGTTTATTCACACGTGGAGCCTGAGGAAGCCGCTCGTCCCTCAGGAGTCAGGAGTCGGTCCTGCAGCGACCCGGTCCGGCCACACGAGGCCAGCGTTTCACCAGGAACGCCGCCGCAGACGGACGGAGGAGGAGGAGGAAGGAGGGAAGGAAGGAGGAAGGGCTGATCAGGAGTCTGGTCTCTGTCGGCTGCAGTTGATGGAAGCAGGGCGGTGGAGAGGCGGCGGCGGTAAGGCAGGACTCCTGGAGAAGCTCCTGGGTTTACTTTGACCTGCAGAGGAAGAGAAACGAGGAGAGGACGGTTAAATAGATCAGATCAGCACTGCT